GGAGGCTTGAATCTGGGTCTCAAGCAACAATCTAAAGCAAAGACGCCGTCACTTTGAGTTTACGACTGATGTATAATTGAGTGGGGGGAGAGAGAGTGGTTGGAAGTGCTGGTAGCCACAGGTAGGATTAATCGAACACGCTTTCTTCTGTACCCCTCATGACTTAGAGGAGCAACCTGGAGTCCAAATGCATTTTTGCGCTCGTTCCGCTGCAAGAGAAACCGGCACCACTCGGCCCCAAAGCGGCAACGATCGGATGGCCCCGCATCGTCGAAGCTGCCGTCCTCACTCACCAGGGCGGAGCATGGCAGAGAGTTTAGGGTTTTAAAACTAGATCAATATGCGCTGAGGGTGGCAACCAACTCGAGCCGAGGGCGGTTGACCTCCCAGTCATTTTAGCTGTCAGCCCTAAGTGTCCTGACATGACATGGTCAGTCCCATGATCTGCAAATGTCTGCAAGACCTGGCATCTCCAGTGCGGCCCGTGCACCAAAACCCGCAGGAAGCCCTGTTACAGGCGAACCACCTACACCCCACAAACCCTGAAGAATCGTCAGGAAAGTTCGCCGAAACAGCCCCGGTCCTCCCCGGCTTCGATGAGTCGGATCCGAGCCGTGGGCAATCCCGAGCAGCCTGCGAAACCTTGGAGGACTTTCATAAGGTGAGGGTTCAGGGCTTTAAGTCTTCGGGGTGTGTCCCTGGGGGGGGTTTGACAGACAAGGTTGAGACTTGAGCTTAGACTCCAGGGCTCAGGGCTTTGAATTTTCAGGGGTTTATAATCCTGCATAGGGCTTTGGTGTTCCCGAGCTTGTACGTATGTGTGTATTTGTGTATGCATGTATGTACGTATGCATGTATGCATGTATCTATGTATGTATGTATGCACGTACGTCTGTATGTACGCATTTCTTGTATGTATAGCTGCAACGGATATGGCATCTTCATGCAATCAACGCACTGCTCATCGTAGACAAGGCCAGTAGACGTAGCCGGTTCTCGAATCTTATTCCTAAGTTCGTCTGGGCTCCTGGCTGCTGACATTGCAATGTCCAAAGTGAAGGGTTGAAGCAGAGCCTTGAGGTCTGCTCCCGTCAACATCGGCATGTCGCCCATCTCCTGGGCCGACATCGTCTCCGAGCTTTTGCCAAGAGTAGATCTCTACAAACTTTGTGGAGATCTACTCTTGGCAAAAGCTCGGAGAATGCGGGCTGCACCGTGGCTGCAGCTGCAGCACGTCTGGCTAGGCTTCATGGCGGCGACGTGTAACGGTGGCCAGAATGTTGGCATTCTGGCCACAGTAGCTGCAAGCCGCCCGCGTGCAAGGCTTCATCAGCTGCAGGTCTACCACTCAAATCTGCTAGGGCGTTCTTGGGCCCACCAAAAGTTCCTCGCCAATAACCAAGAGACAAGAACTCAAGCCAAGCGGACCCTACAAGACTGCCATGCAACATGCCGCACCCTACTGTGTGGCCATGGCACTTCCTGCGGCTCTGTTGATTTTTTGCCATAACGGCGAATGGAATGTGCAGCTCAGGCTCACGGGGCCTATTGAAGTGGAGACTGCAACGTAGAACAACAGCAAGGCTGCAGCAAAGCCTGCCAATTAGGTGGAGAACGATCAGAACACAAACATGGCTCGGCGACTTAGCCGCCGCCACGTGCCGCTAGGCGACGGGCTACATGCTGCAATGCTCTGCAGCGCTCCGCCGCAACCGCGTCAAAGCCTCTCATGGTGGCTACCTGCTCGCCCCAGGCCCTCTCCATTAGAAAGCCATCCTCAATGCAATCCACGCTCAGAACCGCAGTCATTACTCCGTAACGATGTGTCTCGGATTGCACCTCTGCGGATGAGCTTCCGTTTGAACATGTTTGAACAATCTTGAAGCTCATCCGCAGAGGTGCAATCCGAGACACACCGGTACGGAGTAATGAAAGCGGTTCTGAGCTTGGACTGCATCGACGATGGCTTTCTCCTTAGAAAGCCATCGTCAAGGCAGTCCATGCTCAGGATCGCAGTCATAACTCCCCAACGAGGTGCCTCAGATTGCACCTCTGCGGATGAGCTTCAAGATTGTTCAAACATGTTCAAACTGAACACAGCAAAGCAACAGCCCGATTTCACGGATCTTTAACACTCCGTTTGTCACGAACTCTCACGTTTTCAACAATGGCACAGGGAGGACGTCGGGAAAGATCTTTGGTGCTGTTAAGAAAAGCAATATCGGCGGTGTACAAAAAACATATCCGGACGCATGTGCAGCAAACCATCTGAAAGCCACAGCGGTCCGGCGATGCTCAAAAGCATTCCAAATCAACCACCCAAACGACCACGATCAGCGCACCAAGTAGCAGTTAGCAGTCGCTCTTGGGCTTCGGATGTGCATTGTTAGCCGCTTAGCCCTTCCCTGGCACCTGGACGGCGTCAGCGCATGTCAGCGCTGTCTCCGGGTCCGACCATCGTTGCGGCTCGGAGGGGCGCACCTCCATAGGCACCAGAATTCGATTCGAGTTTGTCTGGTATGAAGCCTTGCACAAGGCTTCATGCCAGACAAACTCCAGTCGAATGCTCTTGACTTGTTGCTTGGGCCCGGAAAAGGGGTACATATGCTCGACCGCGTCAAACTCTTTACCAGACCCCGAACCAACCCACCTCCTCTGGCAAGACAGCACAATGCCACGAAGCCCAGAGCTGTGTTCTGCGCGAAGATCTGGTTTGAAAATGCCGCAAGAATGCGGGTGCCTCGCAACCCGCCGAAGCGTTCGCCACTTGGCAGTAGCAAGCTGCATCTCAGCCTGTGGCGGAAAAGCAAACGTGTGCTCCTCCGACTGCATATGTCTGGACAAACGTACTGTCCATGAAGACAGACCAACAAGCTTCTGCGGCTTTCGGGCAGGTGATCTACAGTAGGTCAGAAGATCCCAAAGAGCCCAAAGCCCGGAACTCCCTTCGTTGGCCTGGCATTGAGATCTCAAGGCGCGACATGAAATCAGGGAAAGAACTTTTCTTTGGTCCAGCTGCGGCATTGCCCGTAGCCGACGCGTGACAGCAGCTTGATACTGCCGTCTCGAGTATCTACTACAATGAATCTATTGACGAAAATCTCAAGCTCAGGTCTGTTTCCAAAACCTAAGGTCCTGCGAGTAGACGGTGAACACAACCCGGGTTCCCTCAATCAAGTTCCTGACTTACAGAAGCGCCGCTGGAAACCTGCGGACATTTCTTAATGTTTCGTACGGTACGGCTTCTGGCTTTTTTTTCGGGACTCCTTCGTAGTATCTTGTGGTTGAAGCTGTCAGTGCTCTTCATTTCACTGGATTTGACACTGATGTGTAGGCAAGGATGCAGAACCTTGGCAGGACTGAGGTTTGATGCTGAGTCAGGCCGACGTTGATGGCCGTACGTACTATGAGCCCAACTGAGCCAGCCCCAGTTCGCGGGTGTGTCTGATTCCATGGAAAACCTAGATGCGACGGCTCGGCCATAATGACAATGACACCTTCGTGCCTCAGCAAAACAGATCTTGAACGACTGGTAATGAAAAGACCTTGCAATCGCCACTCTGGCGCCACTTGCATGTAGGCAACGGCAATGCAACCCAGCCAAAAAACGGACAACTGTAGAGTAAACCGGTAGCATGTGATAGAAGTAGTCGTACCGTGCGGACACATTCTGGTAGTGACACTCTGAGCTCTGTGGAGCAAGATTTCGAGTTCATGGTTGAGTTGATCCAGACTGTGCAGACTTGTGTAGGAATTTTCGTACGCGTGCTTGGTCAAAGCGGAACAGAGTAATTGTGTACGAATGGATCAATTTGCCGCTTGCTGCATGTTGGTGCTGCAGGATCTCCATCCGACGCCAGGGATTGAGGAAAAGCGGATCATCTTGATACACCTGTTACACCAAACCACAGTACACCATACGGCAGGAAACCTACAGGTGCTTGCCCTCAGCCGTGTGCACGAGCTGGGATACTCGGCTGCTCGGCTCATCTCGGCTCGTCTGTTCGCACATCTCTCGCACAAACACACAACGCACAAACACCTGGAATTACGAGAGGTACTCCGCAATCAACAGCACGCTGCATGACACGTGCAGTCTGGGTCCCAGACTCTGCTTCACTTAAGTGGACTATACATTCTCAACATTGGCTGCCTCTGGGGTGAAGCCCGCTTCGTGCAGGGACAGCAGGAAGTGGCCACCGCGGTACACGAGCTCGTGCCGCGTGCCACTGCCTTGTGGCTTTCACGATGCGCTATGATGCGCTGTTAGAAGCTTGAAATCGCTCCGGGCCTCGAGCGACAATCTAGAACAACGCCGGTTGCCCCGGGTGATGTATACGCTGAGACACAGACTGTAACAACCAAATGGCTCCAGGCTAACACTATTGACGGCACAATACGGCACAGCAATGCTTTCGTCTATACCCTTCATTAATTGAGCACATGACCTGGAATCCGAATCCAAATGCATTTTTGCGCACGCTCCGCTCCAGGAGAAACCGGCACCACCGCAACAGCAGCAACACCGACAACAACCACAACCACAACCACAACCACGCCAATCAACATCAATGAACCATGAAACCAAAAAGTCCAACTAAATCCGAAGCGTTCTGAAGCCCTACACCCTAAACCACTAACCTGAAACATCGTAGGTAAACTGAAAATCCCAAGGCACTTCCGGCCGTCAGCGTCGACACGCCTGCGGCCAGCTGCCAGCCCAAGAGCTGCCAGGAGCCGTCCTTCAAGGGCTCTTTTTCGGGCCTGTAGGGTTGAGGGCTTAGGCGTGGCATCTCGGCAAGGAGGGCTATATAAAAAGAGGCTTGCGCGGCTATGGCGATGGCACTTCCTGCAGGCTCTGGTACCTTTTTGCCATCTCGGCGAATGCGCAGCTCAGGTTCAATATGAAATTCAAACAGGCAGAATTAGGTGCACGAAGAGACAACAGCAAGGCAACTGCCAAGTATGCCAATTAAGTGGGGAATGCGTGGCTCAGCGACTTAGCCGCCGCCACGTGCGGCTAGGCGACGGGCACAGTTCTGCAACGTTCTGCAGCGCGCGGTCGCCACCTTGCAATCGAAAAAAGACGTCATTGCCACGGATTGGCCCCAGGTCCTCTGCTTGAGGAAGCCGTCGTCGAGGCACTCCAGGCTCACGATCTGGTCGATCGGTCCCAAATATGGGGATTCAGCCTTGACCTGTGCGGACGCGCGTCAAGATTCTTTGGGAGATGACTAGGACATGAAGGGAAGAGTATGTGAACAAATCCGGCATTCTAGCGTAGTTTTGCCAGATCAGGCCGGAAGTATATACGTCGGGACAATCTTCGGGTACTTTTGAAGAAACGTACGGCTTCAACACAACCGAACACGTGTGCAGCAAACAATCCGATGCATGCTCAAAAAAGCGTTCTACAGGAACCCGGATGAGGCATGATGAGACCACTGAAACATACAGACCCGTGATCAATTAATTATGTTCCCTCGCGGGCTTCGGCTGTGTGTTGTTAGCCCCTCCCTGGCACCTGGACCGTGTCAGCGGTGTCCCCGGGTCCCACCAGCATGGCGACCCGGAGGGGCGCACCCTCATGGGCACCGGGGCGCCAGGCCACAAACGCGCTTTTGGTGACCTGCTCCCTTGTCTCCTCGTCCTCCTCCAGCAGCGCCTTCAGCTCGGCTCCGGTGATGGTGAGCATGTTGCCCATCTCTTGGGCTGACATCCATTGGATGTCCTTGCTCACATCTACCCGCGGCAGGAGCTCGCAGACAGCGGGTGGTGGTGGTGGTGGTGGCGGTGGCGCTGCACGTCTGGCCCGGCAGCGCTTCTCGTGGCGCCGGAGCGTTATGCCTAGTCCTGTTAAACCCAGGAGGCCAACGTTCTGGCCGCAATGGCCGCAAGCCGCCCTTGCGCAGGGCTTCATGATCGAATTCTCTATTTGTTGCTTGGGCCCGGAAAAGGGGTACATATCCCGAACCAGCCGACATCCTTTGGCAAGACAGCAGAATACCACGAAGGTTAGATGCTTCGCTCTGCATGGATCTGGCTGGTTAGGCAATGGCGCAAGAATGCAGGTGCCTCGCAACCCGCCGAAGCGTTCCCACTTGGCAGTAGCAAGCTGCATATCAGCCTGCGGCGGAAAACGCAGCAAACGTGTGCTCCTCCGACTGTAGATGTCTGGACAAGCGTACTGCTCATGAAGACAAACAGAAAAGCTGAGCCGCAGCTGCACCACCGTCGGGCAGCTGATCTACGTGTCAGAACAACCCAAAAAGCCCAACTTCCTGCCTGGCAGCGAGATCTCAACGCGCTGCCAGCCCAGCACCTCCTCGTAGCGGGAATAAAATCAGGCAAGCAACATGTCTTTGGTCCAGGTGGGGGTTACACCTGAAAATGTCCTAGACTATGGGGCTCAGGGCTCCGGGCTCCACATAAGCCCAGGGATCTCAGAACTAAGGTTTGCTAGATGCAGGGGTCCGTAATTATACCTCCGATACGAGGTCCTCGTGATTTTGCAAGCCCCGACACATTTGCTTTGCACGGCCTTACTTTGGCATGGCTGATCATATTGGCACGTAGGAGCTAGGAAAAATGCAGTGATCGGTTGCCCTTGTATGAACGGGTGCTTATTGGGTTGTTGAGTTCTTCGTTCACATTTATTCCGCACCACCATCCATTGAACCATCTAGGATCTTGACATATGTGAGGCCAGAAATACGAGCATGCATGCGTACAGTTCCATTTTCGTTAGTTCATGATGTGTATGTCTTCTACTTATGCATGCCGTCTCGTGCTGACAACTGTACGGATGACTCGTACACAGATAAGTGCATAGGCGTCGACATAGACATTTTCGTAGACATGCACTCGCACAAGCAACATACAAATGCACACGCGATCATACACATTTGCATCTGCATTATACATTTACATGTCCATATTATACACATGCGTAGGAGTACACATGTGTGCAGAGGGACGTGCCGTCATGCAGGCATGCATCCAGCACAATGCTCTTTGCAGGCAGCGTCTCGGCTGTCCGCTCAGCAAATGGAGAATCTATGCTTCGATCCAAACTGGGCCCGACATGTCGCGTGCCGCGCCTACTGTTCATGGATGAACAGCAGCATTCCTGTAGCACGGCCCGCGAGCCAGTTGAATTGTTGCCATATCGGCAAACGTGCAGCATGCTTGAAGCCAGGCAGGGTGGTCGCTATGGCACTTGCTGCGGCTCTCTTGATTTTTTGCCATCTCGGCGAATGTGCAGCTCAGGCTCACCGGGCCTATTGAAGTTGAGAGTGCAATGTAGAACAACAGCAAGGCAACAGCAAAGCCTGCCAATTAGGTGAACACAAACATGGCTCGGCGACTTAGCCGCCGCCACGTGCCGCTAGGCGACGGGCTACATGCTGCAATGTTGTGCAGCGCGCCGCCGCAACCGCGTCAAAGCCTCTCATGGTGGCTACCTCCTCGCCCCAGGCCCTCTGATTTAGAAAGCCATCATCGATGCAGTCCAAGCTCAGAACCGAGGTCATCACTCCCCAACGAAGTGTCTCCGCTTGCACCTCTGCGGATGAGCTTCAAGATTGTTCAAACATGTTCAAACTGAACACAGCAAAGCAACAGCCCCGTTTCACGGATCTTTCACACTCCGTTTATGTCACGAACTCTCACGTTTTCAACAATGGCACAGGGAGGACGTCGGGAAAGATCGTTGGTGCTGTTTGGTGCTGTTAAGAAAAGCAATATCTGCGGTGTGTAAACACGCCCGGACATATGTGCAGCAAACCATCTGAAAGCCACCGGCGATGTTCCAAAGCATTCCAAATCAACCACCCAAACGACCACGATCAGTGATGGAAAGTACTAGGTGCACCAAGTACTTGCACAGCTAGCAGTTCGCTCTTTGGCTTCGGATGTGCACTGTTAGCCGCTTAGCCCTTCCCTGGAACCTGGATGGTGTCAGCGCTGTCTCC